ATGGCTGCAGACAGGTTCTCTCATTAGGGTGCCTGCCCCCACCCTCCCCAAAAAAGGTCCAATCAAAGCAGTTACTTCTGAGGTAATTGCTGGGCCCATTAAATTCAAAGTAGGGAGGTCAGACTGTAACAAAAGGGTAATCTTGGTAGATTTTTCTGAAGGGCACAGGTATGGGTTTCACCTAATGTCAAGAAAACAAAAATCCTCATAAATGGACCAACAAATAACATCATGATAAATGGAGTAAATATTGAATTTGTCAAGTACTTCATTTTGCTTGGATCCACTATCAGCACTCATGGAAGTAGCAGTTAAGACATCAGTTTGAGAACTAAGGTTCGCCTGACCCAAGTCATGATATTTTCAGTTTCATATGCATGTGAAAGCTGAACAATGAATAAGGAAGACGTAGAAGAATTTACGGATATGCCTGAAGCCTGAGAGCCGAACTCTTGCCATCCTGACTTTTAAGGAGCATTCCGCCTATATTTCTTCCAGCACAGATTTATTTGCTCTTCTGGTAGTCCATGGTACTGCCAGAAGAGCAAACAAATAGTTTGAGAATATTGGACAAAAAGTCCAATATTCTTCTCTAACACCATATCTCAAATACATCAATTCTTCTATGGTCTTCTTTATTCATTGCCCAACTTTCACATGCATATGAGGTTATTGACAATACCATGGCTTGGGTAAGGCACAGCTTAGTCCTCAAGCTGACATCTTTGCTCTTGAGCATGTTAAAGAGGTCTTCTGCTGCAGACTTGCCTAATGCAATATGTCATTTGATTTCTTGACTGATGCTTCCATGAGTGTTGATGGTGGATCTAAGCAAAATGAAATCTTTGACAACTTCAATGTTGTTTCCATTTATCTTGATGTGTTTTTTTTTAAAACCATCCAGTATCCGTTTGTTCTGTTTGAATGACTGCCTCTTGGTCTATGCACAGGTTCCTCATTCGTATAATTAATGTTATCCATAGCTTGTCATAATCCATACAATTGAAAGCCTTTGCATAGTCAAAGCACAGGTAAACATCTTTCTCTGCTTTCAGCATGCAACTCCCGTCTAGCTGACACAAATTAAGTGTTCAATAAATATTTATTGAACTAATTAATGTGATCTTTACAATAGCCCCATAGCATAACCACTTTGCAAATGAAGAAGAATGAAGCTCAAGGAAGTTGAGTGGCTTGGTTAGTCATGGCCAGTATCTTTTTAAATGGATTCTAACATTTTGGTCTTTTTGCATAACCCAAGTGGACTGAAATGCTGAAATGTAAAGAACCAGGAAGAAATCAACCACCATGTCAATTCTAATGAGAACAGAAATGTTAGTAATGTGCCAGTGTAGGATAGGTAGAGGTTTAGTCATGCCCCGCATAACATCTGTTCAGGTAACATCTAACCGTATATACGTCAGTCATCACATAAGGTTATAATAGAGGTCAGAAATCCCAACTGGAGAACAAGATGTAGTGGGCATAACCGGATGTAGTGATACCACAGCATGCAATATATGTATCTCATGTTTCTTGTATACAAAGCAATTGGGTCACCTGGCACATAATGGTACAGCTGATAGTCATAATAAATGGCTGTTACTGTACTATATACACTTTCTAAAAAGTTTACTGTGTAACAGTTTATGTTTTGACTCATAGGCAGCAACATTCAATCTCGTTTATCCTGAGTCTCTTGAGCATTGAAACATCATCTATCTGTTTCATTTTCTTTTAAAAGTATTTCTGTGAAATATATCATGGCTCCAAAATGCAGCAAAAGGCAAAGTGATAGCAGTAGTAAAAGGCAAAAGAGAAGGATCCATTTAGAAGTGAAACCAAAGGTTATTAAACAACATGAAAGCGGACAATCAGTGCTATCTAGGCACATCACACTCGACAATCACAATGATCCTGAAAAAACAGAAAGAAATTTCTCAAGCTGTTAAAGGATCAGCTCCACTGAAACCTACAAGGCTAAGGAAAATGGAGAGGGACCTATATCAGATATGCAGGAATTACTAAGGACATGGTGGGCCAAACAAAACTGCGAATCCCTCTCAACACTGTGACTACCACGCTAAGGCAAGAAGCTTGTCAGAGATGGTTAAAGGGAAAGGAGAACCAGAGTGCCATTTGGTGCTCACACACCGTCCAACTTACAGAATGTCCTATTTCATAGAATACATTAAGTGGTACATGATTGTATATTTAGGTTGTTTGCATACCTTTTCCTTGTTTTTAAAATATATAATTGATAAAGTTTTTATATACCTTTTTATTTCTTTTTGGATGGCTTATTTTAATTTCTCGCTGTGACACAAAGTGATTGGAAATTCAAGATAGCTCTCAAAATTATTCTCAAACTGCTTACCAGTCAACACTACTTTCAGAGAAAAATGAGGTGTCAGTTTGACCATATATACACCAGCATTGGATGTGATCCTTATTTATAATTTTCCATTACTCTCAGATATGTAAAATAGTGCCTCATGCTGTTTTTCCTTTTTATTTCTTAGTGAACACGTAGGGTGGGTATTGCTCTCCGTGTCTATTTACCAGTCATCTTGTGAGACCATGTTCTTCATTGTGTTATTCTTTTATTTCTGTTTCTAAATTGTAGAAGACATTTATGGAGGCAGACTTCACAATGTAATTAAGCATCAAGCGGAAGACCCCGTGCTAGGCACTAGTGAGATAGAGTGCAAAGCTGACAGGGACATTTCTCCTACTTCTGAATGAGTTTACAGCCAAGTAGGAGAGATGGATCTTTATAGAAATATTGTGATGGATTAAGGTGGTTCAGTTGTTTGTGAAATATAGAGGCAAATAAAGAACAGAGGAGCAGTGATTCATGACTTTGAAGCATTGGGGAAGGCTTCAAAGAAGTGATATCTTCAAAGAAGTGATATCATCCATCCACATGGAAGGATGACAGAGATCTAGAAAGGAAATTCAGGTTGGCAAGGGAACAGAAACAGGTGCTGAAATATGATGTACCGAAACAGATCCTTTGTCTCTGAGAACATTAGAGTTTGTATCAGTTAGGAGTCCTGGTGTGGTGCCATAGGATAAGCATTCGACCTCAAGGTCCATTTGAACTGTGAGGTCAGTGGTTCAAACTCATCAGCTGCTCCCCAGAAACCCTATACAGGGTTGCTATGAGTCCGAACTGACTCAATGACACTTAACGACAGTAACAACATAATAAGAAAGAAGTTGAGTATGATTGTTGAACAAGCAAAACAAAATTTTGCCAAAGTGTTTATAAACAAATATTTTAATCAGAATATAGCAATATTGAATCAATATCAATTCTCAGCATGAAGATATTCTTTGGATGCCATTATAATAAGCTAATTTAAAAAATTTTCCTGTATGATATGCACCATTTGCTTTTTCTTCCATTTTCATTTTTGTTTTACTTAAGTTGACTTAATTGGTGTCGATTCTTTTCTATATACATTTTGCACCAAGGATTTATTTCATTGATAATTTTATGTGCCACGTATTTCATTTTGTTACTTATATTTGTGGGTTTGGACATTATTAATCTTCTTTTGAGGTTGACATTTGTATCAATTTTCTGGAGTCGGGTTTTGGGGATCATAATGGTAGCTTCATTTTTATTGACTCTTTGCATCCATAATAGTCATTAGGAATTAGGTTAAGAGACTGGTTATACATTTTTCAGTTATCCATGATAAAATTATGAGCAGATCCCTGAGATATGCAACAGCTGATCTCTCATTCAGATTGCTGTATCGAAGGAACCAGAAACTACCACCCGCAGGCCAAAACTGCCCCACTGCTTGTCTGCTGATGTATAGGCAGCCTACAAGCTAACAATGGTTTTTATAGATGAACATTTGCAATGCGTTTGCATTAGAAAACACTAACTGGATGTGGCTCTGTAGTTTCAGCAGTGGACTTCAACAACAACAGCACAACTTTGAAGCCCAGTTCAGAAAACTGTTATCCACCCCACTCTCAAATCATTTTATTCTTATAGGGTCTCCAAGGAGTGGCTGGTGGGTTTGAACCGCCGACCTTGTAGTTAACAGTCCAGTGTTTATTCTACAGTGCCACACCAGGATGCCATATTTTAAAAAGTTATACTTAATAAAAAAGTGCTGCAAAAAAAAAAAAAAAAAGTGCCGGAAATGTTTTCTTTCTTGTCATATAAATACCTACATAATACTTTTACTTTTGCCTTGCGGCCCACAAATCCTAAAATATTTACTCTCTGGCTCTTTCAAAAAGAAAAAGCCTACTGTCACTCTGTTGCATTCCTAGCCTAATTCTTTTGAACACTTACTTTGTTTTCCATTTTGGTTACAAAAAGCAAATGGTAAAAGAAGTTATAAATTCTTAGGGCCAAAATCAGGGAGGCAAGTGCCGTCCTTCTGTTGGGAAATCTTAAATGGATGAGTATGATTCTCTTGTTCTGTGACAAAGAGAGATGGCTCTTCAAACTCTAAAATGTTATGTCAAAGAAAGATGCAAACTGATTTTTCTATAAAGCGGTTTCCGATTTTCCTTATTAAAATATGATATGTCACAATAAAACGTTTTTTGTTTTGTTTTTTAAAAACAACAATATATCTAGCACTCATAAGGTATGCTCAATCATTTAGGATGAAAAGGGCAACATTTACCTATGGACAAAGTTAAGAAGGGACTGGAAGGAGAGTGGAATGGAAATAGAAGCTATTAAGAGAAAGTGAGATCACTGTTGTTGCAGGGAGGGGATTGCATTCATGGAGATGAAACAAACTGTATGACTTGTTGAATGTAAAACTGATGATCTCTTCTGTAAACATTCAATTCACAATAAAAAGTTAAAAGAAAATACATCTAACATATTGGAATTGCCAAACTATTGTTTTCAAAGCATCAAACTTTGAGGGAAACGAGGCATTTGAAATTTGAGAGCTGAAAGGCTTTTTTTTACTTTTTCCTGCTCAAATTAGCTCCTTTGTTCTTTTCTTTAACAGATGAGGAAAAAGAAAATAATAGAGCATCCAAGCCCCACTCCACTCCTGCTACTCTTCAGTGGTAAGTATCCATGTATAGGAAGCTGTCACATGGTGGTGTGCTCATATAACCAGATGTTTCTACCTACAGGATGGGATGTCACTTGAATACTTTGAACTTACCATAATAATGGTTCTAAGGCAGACCTCAAATCGTCTTAGAAGAAATGCACCTTAGAAGCAAAGATGGGGAGACTTCATGTCAGGTAGTTTGGACATGTTATCCAGAGGTACCAGTCCCTGGAGAAGGACATCTTGCTTAGTAAAATGGAGGGGCTGTGAAAATGAGAATGCCCCCAACAAGACAGGTTGACATAGTGCCTGCAACAATGGGCTCAGTTAGAACTGATTGTCAGGATGGGGCAAGCTGGGGCAGTGTTCTCTTCTACTGTTAGTAGGGTTGTTATGAATCAGAGCTGACTGGAAGGCACATAACAAAAACATGGCAACTTTTTATTCAGTAACCCACATAAAAAATGACTTAATTTATAGGTATCTGTAAAATGCTTAACCCAGATCTAGCCTTGGAGATTAGACTTTTTGTATTTTTTTTTTCATTTTAAAGAGCGCTGGTAGTATAGAGGTTAAAGTTGGACTGCCAACTAAAAGGTTGGTGGTTTGAACCATAATTGTTTTTTTGGGGAAAGACATGGCGGTCCCTTCCATAAAGATTTACAGCCTTGTGAATGCTATGTGGGGCAGTTCTACTCTGCCTTTCAGGGTCCTGGAGAGTCCAAATCAACTCGACAGAAGTAGGTTTAGTGGGCATTTTTATTTTGAGGTAGATTTTTCAATATCAAAGCACTGGCAAGGACTGGATTCCATATGCATGTTATGAATTGATTTTAACAAAAATCTATTCTTGCAATGGTGTCCTGGTGTGGCACTGTGAGCTACAAAGTCATTTGAACTGCAAGGTTGGTGGTTCAAGCTCACCAGCCACTCCTCAGAAACCCTATACAGGGTTAATATGGGTTGGAACCAACTTGATGGCACACAACAACAACAACATTCTTGCAATTAATAATGTTGCAGCAAATGATAGAAACAAAAGACTGTTCACCCTTACCAATGAACTCTTAATGAATTAACTGCAACCATACTACAGTATTTTTGTTTTAAAGTTTTTATTGTGAATTGAGTAATAGTTTACATGGAAGAACATCAGCATTACACCATCATTTCATTGCAATGGTTACAAATCTCCTCTGTGCATCATCATTCAACAGTATTTGCTTCCATTCCCTTTTTTTGGGAAGAGGAGCGTGTACACAGAAACACTCAGGAATATATAATAATTTAAACAACCAAAGAGCACACTCTATAAGCTTGCCTCCTGGCCGCCAGTACCCAGTCCCTCTCTTTCCATGAGTCCGGAGTCCTCAGTCCTCAGCTGCTCCCTCTCTCCATGTCCTCATCTCTGCCTCCATCTTTGGTGTCGCTGCTTCTCTGCATAGGGTCCCGCACCCCGCTGTGCTCTTCTCCCTTGGCCAGTCTTACTTTTTTTTTTTTTAGAAGTTAAATAACCTTTATTTTAGGGTCACTTATAGCCATAAAAAGTTACATTTATTCTACTATCTCTATTTTTTTTAAATCAAGATAAACAGTAATAAAGAAAATGTTTTACAGTGAAGCTAGCCATTCCATAATCAAGCTATTTTAGGGATATCAGGTGTAAAGGAGAAAACAACATGAAATGATGCACATGGTTCAGTTTCTATAGGGCTATGCTGTGATTTTCCTTTAAAAAAAAAGTCTATGAAAAGCGTTGTGGGGAGGGGTGAACAAGAAACTCTGAAAAGCTAGCTAGTGCTCACAGGTGAAGACTCTTCCTCCTCTCTTTCGCTAATTTTTGCATCCAATTCACTCTACTTCCAGTCAGTAGCCTGGAGAGGCTGCCATTTCTACTCCCTAAAGCACAGATCAAAGCCCTGCTGGGAATAAGTCTGGGTTTAAACAATTGATCCTAAGGAGAGTATTAGTTGCCTTAGCAATTTGCTTTTTTTCAAAAGACAGCCAACCATCTTAACATTGTTGTTGTTATCAGGTGCCATCGAGTCGGAACCAACTCATAGTGACCCCATGCACAGCAGAACGAAATAATGTCCGATCCTGGGCCAACCTCACTACCACTGTCACACTTGAGTCCATCAATGATGCC